ACTATTCATCTTAGTTTTAAGTAATTAATTTAATTTTAAATATTGATTTTACTGCTTAAAATCCATATCAATCAGTAGTCTAAAGAATGAAACAAAGCAAATTCTTCAGGTTCAAGAGAATGTCTTTATGGGAATTAGGACATATTATTTCTTCTGGGGTTTATTGGAAAATAATATAACTGAATTTCATAGACAAGGAAAGAATCATAAAATAATGCATAGTCTGAAAAAGGAATGATTAATTTGCTTCTAAGAAAATGGCCTTTCTTTTGAATATATGCTGTTTTATGGTAATATATCTATTTTTCATACTGATTTGTGCTTTTCCAAAACTTTGTTTCGCTTAAAATATAATGAAAATGGGAATTATGGTTGGGAGCCTCATTTAAAGATCAGTTGTTCAAGGTGTATAATTTAAAAAGGAGAGGGGGCAAATGAAAAGATGAATCTCTTCTTGAAATTATAATCTGAGAGCCCAGTCCAAAACTGTTGGTATCTTTTGCCTATTTCCATGGGGTTCCGAACAATCCCTAAATATATGTCAAGAGACAACAGGTGGATACAAGAAACATGATGGGGAAAGAGCAAGTTAACACTGAGATGATTTTGATTAGCATAATAAGCAGCAATCACAGCACACCAGCTGCCTAGCCATTGTCAAGTGTTTTGTAGGCATTGTGGAAAAGGTGACTTTTAAGAAGACTTCTGAAGAAGGCTTTAAAGTTTTTGACCAAATTTTCCTTCATGAAAAAAGGGAATATAGCCAAATATATTTGGGGTACAAAAGGCAGAGTTAAACAAGGCTTGACATATCCAGGTTTCAAAGCAAAGTAAAGAAAACACATTTTCAAAAAATGCAGATAGTAATTTAGATCTAATTAGACCATTAGACCAATTCCTGGCAAATAGATGGAGAAGAAATGGAGATAGTGACAGATTTTATTTTCCTGGGCTCCAAGATCACCTCAGATGGGGACTGCAGCCAAGAAATTAAAAAACGTTTGCTCCTGGGGAGGAAAGCAATGGCAAATCTAGACAGCATACTAAAAAGCAGAGACATCACCCTGCCAACAAAAGTGCATATAGTCAAGGCCATGGTTTTCCCAGTTGCAGTGTATGGATGTGAAAGTTGGACCATAAGAAAGGATGCACAACAAAGAATTGAGGCCTTTGAATTATGGCGCTGGAGAAGACACCTGCAAGTCCCCTGGACTGCAAGGCGATCAAACCAGTCAGTCCTAGAGAAGATCAACCCTGACTGCTCTTTAGGCCAGATCCTGAAGTTGAAACTCAAATACTTTGGCCACCTAATGAGAAGAAAGGACTCACTGGAGAAGGGCATAATGCTTGGAAAGATTGAGGGCAATAGAAGAAGGGGACGACAGAGAATGAGGTGGCTGGATGGAGTCACTGAAGCAGTAGGCGTGAACTTAAATGGACTCCAGAAGATGGTAGAGGACAGGAAGACCTGGAGGAACATTGTCCATGGGGTCGCGATGGGTCAGATACAACTTCTCAATTAACAACAACAACAGACCATTAAAAGATGGGCATTTTAGGGTTTTTTTTTAGGGGTGGGTAAACTCTATCACCTTCACTTAGATACAATGATTTTCTTGAGTGGTATTTCCATTTTCCCATAATTTTGTCAAAAAAGGCATCAGCAGACATTTTGCCAAATGCTTGATCATTGGTATTTTCCAGTTGTGAAAGTTGGCATAGAGGAATTTGTTTATTTGGTTGTGAGCATGGCACTGCCTTTCAAGTTCACATGTCTCATAAAATCCAGTTTGAATGCATTGAGCATACAGTACATTAAGGCAGCCAAACCCAGCATCAATAGATATATTTTGGGGTTGCAAACCAAGACTCATTGCTACTACTGTCACCCACTTTTTTTTTGTCCTTTCTGATATTTGTTAGAATTGGGTATGTCTAGTTTAACGAAGAGAAGGACAAGGGGGGACATGATAGCAGTATTCCAATATCTCAGGGGCTGCCATAAAGAAGAGGGAATTAAGCTATTTTCCAAAGCACCTGAAGGCAGGACAAGAAGCAACGGGTGGAAATAATCAAGGAGAGAAGCAACCTAGAACTAAGGAGAAACTTCCTGACAGTGAGAACAATTAATCAGTGGAATAGCTTGCCTCCAGAAGCAGTAAATGCTCCAACACTGGAAGTTTTTAAGAAGAGACTAGACAGCCATTTGTCCAAAATGGTGTAGGGTTTCCTGCCTGAGCAGGGGGTTGGACTAGATGACCTCCAAGGTCCCTTCCAACTTTACTATTATTATTACTATATTTTAAAGAATGCTGAGTCCATCATTGCAATCGCCCATCATGGTAGGGTGACTATCAAATTCCAACTCAAGTTCATCAAAACAATCATTGCTGCCCCAATTTCTTTTTTCTTCCCATAGTCGAAAATAGGTACCCTGCATCTCTAAAATAAATAACAGGAGGAGGAAGAAGAAGAGTTACCCAACCTCGAGGAAGAGTTCTATGGAGATTCATGCTAAAGGCCCTTTCAAAAATAGAGCCAAAAATGAATATTGTAGATAGTACATTAATATGCTTCTGATTTTGAATACCACAATCTGTATTTTCATGAAATAGAAGAGAGAAAAAATATCAGCAAGAAAATACATGAAGAAAAAGTAATGAAACAAAGATATCTAGGATGTGTTTTAGATGAGAGACTAATTTGTTTAGAGTTGGTATAGAATTTAAAATAGAATATGGTCAAGTTGAAGTGCCTTACTAGTTCTACCATGAAATCATTCAACTTGGGATCTTTCATAGAATTAACCTCAGGTCCAAATAATCCCATATGGTGTGATGGTTACCTGATTACAATCTATGCGTTGTTCAAATTATAGATTATTGCAAGAAGACAAATTGTGTCTTGCCCAATAAACATGAAAAGTGAAGGCAAATAAATCTTAATCGATGAAAGGTTCCTTATTGATACCAATATTAACCCCAATCCTGTTTTACTATTTTCTAGTAGACAGCTAAAAAAGTCAGTGTATTCAGAGTTCAGGATCAATCTCCCTCTATACATAGGCAGACTTAGAGATACGTAATCGGTGAACTTACCCTAAGATACTAAGAATTCTTCACTACAATACTTGAAGTAGTTTCCTCGTTCTTGAAAATACTTTGTAAGTAAAAGATAGTCTAATATTTTTTTGAATGCAAAGTAAGACACCAGCACATACTCTTTCCAACTTTAATTATATTTTTGTGTGGTTGGCTCATAGTTACCATATCTCAGGTTTCTTATTAGCAATTTCCCTCCTTATTTTGATATTACTTACAAACATAACTGTAGCAGTGTGTTTCTTGTTCTTTCTTCTACTCCCTCTCCTTCTACCTTCTTTGGGGAGACATCTGAAAATGTTGGCTGATGTCATATACCATATGGACTGTTACATTTACCATAGCGACACAGTGGGACAGAGTATGAAAGGCAAGGCTTTTGTTAGCAAGTGCTACTGCACAACTCAGAACCACAAAACACATATCAGGTACACAGAGCCAATTTTTAAAACTGACTTTCCAAGTTGAGGCTGCAAAAATATGTGCATTCCTATTTGGTATAATTGGAAATCTTTTGTATACAAAAGTACCTCTTTTACATGCATAAATATATGTTACAAATTAATTGGGAATTGGCACATGGTTTAAAAAAGGGAGGAGGGCTGGAAAATTACTCTTGTTAGGAAGTGAAACTGTTAATCTGATGACCTAAGTTTTGTAAAGAGACTTTGAATGCAATCCCATGAATCCCCACTGAACACAGTAGATTTTTCCCCCTAAGTGTATTTCTCTAGGATTATATTGTAATTGACTGCTGAATTTTAGGATGTTTACATGTGTTCTGAACTTATCAATGCTATTTTTTTTTACTGCATAGAGGGTTTAAACTCTGTCATCTAGAATTAATTTTTTTAAAGAAGAATACCAATAATCAACACATACATGAGTTTAGAGCCGGTTCATCTCTCTCTCTCTCTCTCTCTCTCTCTCTCTCTCTCTCTCTCTCTCTCTCTCTCTCTCTCTTTCTCTTTCTCTCCCCCCGCAATTGGATATTTGCTATACAGGTAGCCTTCATTTAGCAACTGCCTTATTTAATGACTATTTGTGGTTACAATGGTGATGAAAAATAAATTTACAACCAGTTTTTGCATTTACAATAAGGTCTGCAAAGTAAAGGGAATCTGAAGCTCATAAGTGTAGCTGTAGTTTCATTTAGCGACTGCTTTAGTTACCGATTGTTGAACAACAACTACTTACACTGTACAACCTGGCAAGTAGTACACACATCACGTACAATTTGTGGCTAGCCTGGTTAGTATTGTAAGGTACTGAAAGATAAAAAAAGGTGAGAACTAATTTTGCTTGCCATCTGCCTTGTGAAAGTGGAAGAAAAAAATTGTACCCAGGCCTGACAGCTAAAATACATCTGTATAGGGGAACAGGTGCTAATGAAAATATTAAATTCAAATTATCTTCTATTTTGTTATAGAGCCTTGTTTGTTCATTCAGTTGTGATGCTTTGCCTTGGTTTTTTTGTCCAATGAGAGGCAAAGAGCAACTGGAAAGGGCTGTGACTGATAGGGCTTAATCCAATCACCATTTGCTCAGCCCAAATATCATCTGTTAATTCCAGGGTGGTGATGGTTCTTGGCCCTCTAAAATATAGGCAGTTTTCTATCAATTATACTTCCGCCCAGCTTAACATGTTAAATTTCTGGACAAGTTAACATTTACCTACATCAATAGACCATTTGCAAACTTATTAAAAAAACCTGAAAAACCTGCTTTTAGTTGTTTCTTTTTTGTATCCTCTCTTGAAAATCTTTGCCTGTGTTGTTTGTAGCTGGCATGGGCAATGTAGCAGTGAAATCAACCCTATAACTCTGCCACGCGCCAGTACTATAACATCATAACATTTTGAATGTGGAACATTTTTGTTTGCACTATATCAGAGGGAAGTTATTGCCAGCCACAGAGTCTTCAAAAGGCAGCAGTTGCAACTGCTGCAGGCTTCTCACACAAAACCTCGAACATCTACAAATGTCTTCATATTTACAATAGGAAAGGGAATAATATTTTTGTTTGCTAAGCCTTTCAACTGGATTGATCCTCTTTTAATGTGGGAGCAAAGATTTGAAGAGCAACATTTTTGTTGTCGATTTCTGAGAAGGTACTATCTAAGAAAGAGTTTCTTTCTAAAGAGCTTCTGTACTAGAATTCAGTTTATCATGGACATTGAAGGGAACAAAATTTCCTCTGGTCTCAATGCTTTGCCCCCTGTTAGCCTCTTAATTTGCTTTCTCCTTTATGCGCTTCTATTCCCAAAATAAAAATGAAGTAGACTAAGGCAGACAAATTTTAATAAATTGATTTGTTTTTCATAATAGCTTTTCTGGCTATGTAGAATTTGCAAACTTATTTTTATAGTAAGTATTGTAGTTGAGTGGCAGGGAATCTGCTTTGTCCTTTCCTCTTTTGTGATCAATGTTTTGTTTTGCTTTTAACATTATATTCCCAACAGTGATTCAATCAAATAAATATTTTAATTTTACCTTTGATTGTACAAAACTGCTGCTAAAAATTGTTCATTTCATTGCCTAATGTGCTACAAAGCACTTTTAAAAAACAAAAATCCAAGTATCTGGAAAAATTTGAAACAAAGCTGTTCAGAAATACATTTCAAGTTCATATTTTTCCTTTTAAACTTTTTTTTAAGCATCCCTTAGAAGCAATGTTGTGACTACATCATAATTCTTTTGCTTAAGTGGTGGCTTCATTTAAATAAATATACAAACCCAGTTTTAGTTCAAACAGCTTTAGTGGGTGCTGCTTTAATTTAGGATCACAGTGAAGAAAGGAAAGTAGAATTGTGTTCTGTTATATTTAGAGGTTCAGTTTACCCCTGGACTTTCTTTTCATTCAATTCAAGCATTCTCTAATAGCACAGAACCCTTGAAAAACATTTTTTAAACAAACAACAACAACATTCTTTTCATGTTGTGAGAGGCACTTATGTGTGCTTTGTGTCTTTTTGTTATTTTGTTTATTAAATACAGTTTTACTGTGGAAGAATGGCAAAGTATCCTTTGAGCTATGCCTCTGGTTTCCACTAATGTCAGTGCTATTCTAGAGGGCTTTCATTTTGCAAATTTCCTTCCCAACAGTGTGACAATCTTTTACTGCAGCGACATGCGATTTGTTCAGGGGTAGCAGCCAAAAATGCATTAATGGCATAGAATACAAATTTATTTTTCTTCAGAATCATAGGGATAAAATTCACACAAAGAACCAGGAATAAAAGAAAAATCAGACCTAAATATTGATTTTTGTTTTTAAACAGGATAAATGAATATAGTAATGCAAACACTGACAATTGCCTTAAATGGTTCCTTCTATCTCCCTCCCTCCCTCCCTCCCTCCCTCCCTCCCTCCCTCTCTCCTTCCCTCCCTCCCTCCCAAAAAGTACATTTGGCTAAAATAAGCTAGCCAGATTTGCAGTCTTAGCATCCTGGAAGATTTTTGTGGCTAGGGCAGCAGGATATGGGGGCACGGCCAAGAAATAAAGTAGAGTTTGTGACTACTGGGCTACCTGCCCACCTTTTGGGTGTATTGCTGCAGATGTCAGGAACGAGGGAAGTGCAAACCAGTGCTGGAACGCAGGCTGTCTGTAAGGAACGGGAAACGGCTGTGAAAAACCAGGAACAGCTCGGCACCCAGACAATTTGTAACAAACAACAGGAAGGTCCATTAAAAAAATGGGACTGGCCTGATGAATCTGGGGCATCTGGTTGCCTTAGGCTAAAAGTACTTTCAGTATTTTTTACTGCCACTATAAAGTAAACAATTGTTTAATTAGTAAAAAATAAAATCACTACTTACAGGATGAATGAACAGGGGCTTGTTTTCTGCTTAAGTAATGCTGGCTTTTTTTTTTCTTTGAAAAGGACTCTTACATTTAGTTAACTGATAGGAATGAAAAAAAAAACATCAACAATACAAGTCTTTTGTGGTTTAAATTTTGAAGTCCAAGTATATTGTGATTTAAATGAATAAGAATGGGTAAGCCCTGCAGTGAGCTATGGGCTGCTGCTGCATCTCAGGATTCCCTCAGGCAAAGTAATCATGAGAGACTGTAGTATGAAGTATGTTGGCTCATCTTTGGAATACTGTAAGGTCGTATTAGTTGTTTTGCCATTCCTTCTCTTTCAAGCATAAAGCATTGCTGAAGGAGAACATCACAACTCCACTCTTTGCAGAGTTGTAGCATTTCCTCTTTATCATTTGCCACAAAAGTAGGACTGACAACTGCAGGAATGACCTTATTACAGCATAAGATAGAATACTGAGGAAACTGAGTATCAATAGAACCTGAAGGTATTTTGTCTTCATACTGTGTTAACCTGAGAAGCACGTTTGCTCTTACTATACTTTGGTTTGTATCATCTATGGAAGTCATTCC